GTTCTTAATTCGTTCGGATGATCTACCCTGACATACATTTTAATATTGACGGCGGGTGTTCTTATTATGAAGAAGATAAATTTAACGATACTCTTCAAAAAGAAATCATGATTAGTCGTGAACAATCGAACCATCTTTCATTGTTCCATTTAAATATTCGAAGTCTTTAAAAAAAGGTTGATGAACTATCGACCCTTCTAACCTCTCTAGATATAAAATTCTCCGTTGTTGGGATAACTGAAACCTGGTTAATGGATTCACCAGTTGGAGTCGAAATTGATGGTTATAACTTTGTTTACAAAAATCGCCCTGTTAAATCGGGTGGAGGTGTTGGCTTGTATGTATCAGACAATCTTGATTTTAGAATTCGCACCGATATTTATGCTGATGAGCTGAGGTGATGGAAGCATTGTTCATTGAGATCATTCGACCCCATGAGAAAAATAGCATTGTTGGTATAATTTATCGCCCTCCAAATCAAAATGTAAATGATTTCGTGACCAGAATGAACGAAATATTAGGGAAAATATCTCGGGACAACAAGATATGCTATATAATGGGAGATTTTAATTTGAATCTGCTAAAAAATCAAAACCACAACGCCACCGGGGAATTCCTAGATGGCCTGTATTCTCACCTGTTTTTTCCGTTAATCACGTTACCTTCCCGAATTACTTCTCACACTGCAACTCTGATTGACAACATTTTTTCTAACCATGTCGAGCACAGTTATTTGAAGTCTGGACTATTAATAACGGATATTTCGGACCATCTGCCTATCTTTTCCATTTGCTTCGATCATAAGCGTACCCGCGAACACCAAGAGAACATATTTGTCCGCGACAAAAGCGAGCTAAACATTTCCAACTTCCTAGAGGAATTAGATTGTATTGATTAGCTCAATATAGACGGGTATAATGATCCTAAAATCTGCTACAGCAAATTTCTTGAGCGATACACTAAAACTTACGAAACACATTTTCCTTTGAAGAAACTGAAGCGTCGCCTTCACTTTAGGAAACCGTGGATATCCCAGGGCTTACTTAAATCTGTCAAGCAGAAAAACAAACTATACAAGCAGTATATTTCAAACCCCTCTCTCTGGAACGAAGCGAAATATAAAACATATAAGAACAAACTGAATCACTCCCTACGAATCGCGAAACGTTTATATTATGATAAGAGGCTAAGCGAGTCAAAATCCAATATAAGAGCCACTTGGCGTCTGCTTAATGAGGTCCTAAACAGCAAGAAATTGAGACCTAAACCCAACTCTGTGTTTAAGGTTGATGGTCAAGATATTTCTGACCCAGTGGAGATTGCTAATCGATTTTGTCATTACTTCAGCAATATTGGACCAAACCTCGCTAAACAAATTCAATCTACGACCTCGTATAAGAATTTTCTTCCTGGTCATTTCCCTCAGTCAATGTTCCTAAATTTAGCAACTCAGGAGGAGATAGATATCGCACCTACGTTTCCGGCGGGAAAATCGGCTAGCTATGACAATATCCCTATGTCTATCATAAAGCGATCTATATGCAGCGTTTCCTCTCCATTAACACACATTGTAAATCTCTCCATTACTCATGGTATCGTTCCGGATGAATTGAAAATTGCTCGTGTCATACCTATTTTTAAATCAGGTGACAAAGCTCTCTTCAGCAACTACAGACCTATTTCTGTTCTACCGTGCTTTTCAAAGTTTTTGGAACGAATAATTTACAACCGTATTATAAATTATCTCAATGGCTCCGATGTCTTATGTGATAATCAATATGGCTTTAGAAAAAATCGCTCTCCTAGCCTTGCGCTTATCGATTTGTGTGACAAAATTTCTTCTGCATTTGATAGAAAAGAACATGCCATTCCTAGATCTTTCGAAAGCGTTCGATACGGTAAATCACGACATTCTTTTTGACAAACTCAATTATTATGGGATCCGTGGTCTGGCACTAGAATGGGTCAAAAGTTATTTTTCTGAGAGGACACAATTTGTCGAATTTAATAACGTTAGATCTGCCCCACAGGGGATTCCCTGTGGGGTGCCTCAAGGTTCTATTCTTCGTCCCTTATTTTTTATCCTGTATGTTAATGATTTGAACAATGCTTCCCTGCTTGATGCAACCTTGTTTGCTGATGATACAAACTTATTTATCTCCCATAATGATCCTGTTTACCTAATTAACACATTAAATAGAGAATTAAACAAATTGTCAACCTGGTTTGCAGCAAACCGGCTCTCCTTGAATTTAGCCAAGACTAATTTTATGGTATTCAAGCCTTGGCAAAAGAAGCAATCCTTTGAATTTCAGGTTTTATAAATGAGCAGCCTATTATTCGTGTTTCTGAGACCATGTTTTTGGGTGTTTTATTAGATGACAATTTGACCTGGAAATCGCATATATCCTTAACAGCAAATAAATTATCCAAATCTATAGGTATTATTCATAAATCTAGGTTTTTTCTCTCTACTCACTCCCTTCGTACTTTATACAATTCTATGATCCTTCCATATTTGTATTATTGCAATTTAGCTTGGGCTGGTACCTATAAGTCAAACCTTCAAAGAATTGTAACCTTACAGAAACGTGCGTTAAGAATAGTAAGCAATTCTACATACATTGCCCATACTGGCCCAATTTTTAAGGAACTTAAACTCTTAAAATTTCATGATATCCATTCGTTTCAATTAGGTACTTTTATGTTTTCATTCGTGAACTCTACACTCCCTTCCAAATTCAATACTTTTTTTTTACTGAATAGTCAAATCCACAATTATAATACTAGGAATGCTCAGTCCTTCCGCTTGCCACTGTGCAGAACGAACACCAGGAAGTTTTCAATTTACTTTCAAGGTCCAAACTTTTATAATTCGCTAAATTCTGACATAACTAGTTCTCCCTCCTCCGCTTCTTTTAAAAGAAAGCTTAAGGAATTTCTTCTCTCTAGGTATTAACTTCTGTAAGGCAGTAATTCTTAACTAACTTACTTAATATGTGTGTGCGTGTGTGTGTGTACGTGTGCGCGGTCAAAGTTAATTACCATAAGTCCATATTGTAATTCTAATATAAGATTAGTTATTTTAAGTGAGAAAGCCTGACTTGTTATAAGCCTCGTGGTTTCTTTCAGGTTTTCTCGCCATTTATTCTCTGTCATCAATTTTCTTCATTTTTTTTTTCCATCTGTAAATGTCGTATATGGCAAAATAAATATTGTATATTGTATATTGTATAACAGTCTTGTAAAGTATTGTTTCCGTTTCAATCTAATTAGTGACCTAAGTTCCACACGGCACTTTCGAAATGTTGCTCAGTGGTGTTTAGAGGAGGATTTTCCTTGCCTTCTTTCTAAGTCCCTCCTTCTTTCTTACAGCTTTTGAAACTTCATCGTCAATCCATTGAGCGCTATTGGCCAACCTAACCTCAAAATGATCGCGTCTTAAGAACAAGTCTCTGTAAGAATCAAACATCTTGGAAATGAAAATTTTCAACCCCCCTTCAAATTTTGCATGCAGTTAGGCACTCAGGGGGGATGCACAAAAATGCCCTTTTTAAAGGTCGTAGCACTCTTGTTGCCATGGTAACAACGACTGCTTGTTCGAGGCCTGGGGCCTCATTTTCATACAAAAACGTCGCAAAAAAAGAGTGAAATGTTTATTTCTCTACCTCAAGCTAAATAAAACATTACAAATTGGCACTTCTACCATACATAGTGGCATCATTCGTCTTCACTTTGATTTATTCAATTTTCCCTGAGAGTGAATGTGAACACACCAATAGATTATTCATCTCGGTACAGTTTCGGTCATTTTTGTTGTCGGGTAAAACAGGGAAAACGTTTATCTGAATTTCTCCAAAAGTACACCGATTCTGGAACTGAAACTACCCACCTAGCTGGTTATAATATTCTAGTTTTTAAATATGTAAAAATCTCTGCGGGCCTGCCTCTACTTTTTATAGGGGCAATTCGCGAAAAAAGCTCAAAATCAGATATTGCATAATTTGGCGATGTTTACATCTAATGTTCTCAACAACAAATGTTTCAGACAAATGAAACATGCACGGCTTTGGAAGAATGTTATCTTATGAGCAATATCCCGAAGAGAAATCTCGCCTCTGGTTGTCAACTTTCTTTGGAGCGACCGATGGAAACTTCATAGAGAAATACAGCGTCACGCCATCGTGACAACGTACATATTTATGACAAATGACCGGTGTGAGGATAGTTTCGTGTAGATCAGCCGACTTCAACTTGTTTCAAATGACATACAAGTATATCAGTGTATCTTCAGAGGACTTCGGATCGCTCAAATTCTCATGAAAGAAGGTGCAGCACTCGGAATCTGGATGATATGCACACGATTTGAGGTATATGTTTGTAGTTATGTCGAGTAGTCCTCCAAGAAGTTTGATCAATTTTTTTTTAAATGGAGAATTTTGGCCAGCTGGGGAAGGAAAACATAAGAAACGACCAGTGTCACGCGCAATTTACTAAATTGCGCCAATTTTTCTTTGCGCACATTAATGAAATCACGTATCACGCTCAGATTTTTCACGCGTCACGCACTAATTTTAGCCCTAATCAAGCTTCATGCACAAATATTTCGACGCCCTCTAAGTTTGTAACCAAGACAGGGCTGAACAGAGAGGAGAAATTATACTGGCAAGGTGGTTCTGAGATAACACGTGACAGATTAAGAAGGATATGGGTCGGGGTTTTATTTCCTTCCTTCCGACCCCTGTCCCTTCACTGGTTTGCTCCCTCCAGGCTTTTGATGATCTTTACAAGAAAAAATAACGCTTGCAGTGCAAACCAGGTGTTCTGTATGATGGTTCTGTTTGTAAAACGGAGTGAGATGTGGTGAGAACCGAAATAAGGATAACCTCGTGCCCAGATCCTACCGTGTCTGAGTAGGAAACTAGGTTCGATTTTTTACCGCCGAACCGCAAGTAAAGCGGACACTTTCGCGCCGATTCACATGTCTATTGGGCTGTATGTTCTGACGGACCCCTGGAACAACAAAAATCGTTACTTGACTATTTTCTTGGAAATGTTAGGAAAGAATGAAAAGTTCGGCGTCGTTATTGCTGTTTCAAAGGCTTACGATAGCGCAACCAGCTTTGTGTACGCTAGGGAGGTCGATGGAAATGAATTTGGCGGTTCCGGCAAACCATTTCAGTTATCAAGAAGGTCAAACGACTTTTCAAAACATGAGTGGGACAACGACATCCTAACAGATGAAAAGATTGGCCTTGGAACAATCCTGAAATATGAACAATTAGGGGAAGAATATCTCTACACGGAAAACACAAAATTTCGGCCGCAGGTAAGCACTGGTATCGATAAGATAGCACTATGTTTCTTTATATTCCTAAGGTAACTCCGCACACAAAAATATTTTGGAAAAATTTCCGCACAGCCCCATACTTAATTATGCATGTACATCTTACTGGTGATACACTGAATAATAAAGCCCCATATATGGATGTATAATGATGTATGGGGCTGTGCGGAAATTTTGCCTTTGTTCAAGGTCGTTGTGTTGCAATTTGCATATTTAAACCACTCCAGATTTTGCAAACGCCCCAAAACTTCCTCATCAGTTCCTTCAGATTCTTCACCTGAACTGATGACAAAGCTTTCATCGTCCTTTGAATGGCAAAATTTCCGCACAGCCCCATACATCATTATACATCCATATATGGGGCTTTATTATTCAGTGTATCACCAGTAAGATGTACATGCATAATTAAGTATGGGGCTGTGCGGAAATTTTTCCTGAACAAAAGCAAGGGAGTATTAAACGCATCAGGTCCCTGAAACATTTTGCAAGTGTCGGCCCTGGCCGATACCAACAATGGAGAGATGAAGTGCATACCGAGCCTGACGCCTTTGGTGCCGTTTGTTTATGTAGAGCTGTATTAAAAACAATGCCTATTCCAATTGAACAGCTCATTTAAGGAAGAAATAAATTTGTCATGTTGTTTACTTACATTGTAACTCATTGTACATTGTAGTTTTTCAAGTGTTGATATTTTTATCTCTATGTTATGGATACCAAAACATGTTATTTTAATAATACTAGTTCTGTTTATGTCTACTTTATGATTCTTACTTGGGGCTCATTTGTTTTAGATGAACTTTTGTTTCTGCTCTCTCTCATCTACCTTTCATTTAACAAAAAACCACTGGTCTGAATTTCTAAATCTACAACCTTTATACAGTTCCAGCTCTTGAGGTTCAAGGGCAGAATGCAGGGTAGTCACTAAGAAATTTGGCTCAAAGATGGTCCTTAAAGGAAGGTATTTTGCTTACAACAAGGGGACTGGCTTGGGAACAATAATTTGTTCCCAGACATTTGCAATGCTAACAGAAGTCTGCTTTTTCCCCTTGGGGGTGATTGCATCTTTCCCTTTTTACCCAGCACAAGTTCAACAATTTTTTTATTAAATGCAAACATCAGATTGAGAGTTCCTATAAATACTGTATTTTAAGTGCTGACAAAGCCAAATGTTAACAATGATTACAAAACATTGAGTTTTCTTCTTTTGTTTTGAAGGATATTGATAAAATTCAGATGGACCTTAACTATGGTGAAGGCGTTTTTAAAGGTATTAAAGATGCTCTTCCAGAAGCTAAAATTTCATCAACAAAAGGTATTTACCAGGACATTGGACCACCAAGGCTTCCAATTTTCCTCGTCAGCTTTACATCTGGTGAGATAAAAAATGAGAGAATTTCTTTCAAGACAAAACTTGGGGAAAGTATAAACCTGAGGTTGAATTGTAGGGAGAATCTTTTGTTGTCCCCTTATCCTGTTAAACTAGAAGTGAGAGATGTGAAAGGTGACTGTGATGTTGGTGATGTAGCTCTCATCAAAATGGGAGGCTTGGAAAGTAGTCTAAGGAACCCTACACACCATGCTGTTTGTGAAGGCCTGATCATTAGTAAGTGTATTTTTTAATTGAAATTTTTATTGCATGTTACTTTCATTAAAAGTTGGTAATATCATGACAAGCTAAATAAACTAAAGCCCATTTCATGTTTTGGTCAAATCAAGTAGTTCTTAAGACACAAGAGTCTGTTGAGACACTTGGCTAAGATTGAGTTTAACTTTGAATCTGGAACTTTTTTAGACAAATACAATTTGAAGTGCATCATTTCTGTTTTCTGGAAGCTTTTGTATGACAGGCAGAATTATGCAGACATTTTGATTGGTTATTTCTTGAATTCTTTTGGAGAACAGATGTATTGATGACATTGCCATTAACAACTATGTTGCTGTGGGTCTGTTTAGTAAAAGGTCACAGAAAATGTCATATTGTGGAATATAAATTATTTTAATTTTCCACTCTATCATGAGAACAGTTAAAACCTGAGGTAACATATCTAATTCCTTGGGCTTATTTTGTGGAATAGCATAGCACCGTTTAAAATTATAGCTGGTAAAATTAGAGTTTATGACCTGTGCTCTGCCCTACATTTTGAGGAAAGTCATTTTTAATCTTAAAAGAGGAAAATATAGAGGGTAACAAGAATTTCAAGAGATGTACTTCAGGGAATTGACCATAAATAAACCCAGATTATTGCTGATGCAATTGGTTCTTGGGCTTCAGAGTTCAACAGTGACTGTGGAGTTAAAATCTATTAGACTGGAATGGTTACAAAATTCTGGAAGTGAACAAATATGTTTTGTTTTAAATTTCTGTTTCTTCAGGGTACAAACCAAAAGTAATTTCAGTTGATGAGGAGCCAGTGAAGATTAGGGATGTGAATGGAGAGTTGCATCAGTTAGTATCTGGAAGTGTCAAGTTTGACAGTGGGAATGATGTTGCTACAGCAATATCTAAAGAACTTGTAAATGATTTGGGCCTTGAGCCCAATCCCCGTAAGAAGAGAAATGTGACTTTGGCAGGAGGGTTGAAAATGTCATGTGGTTTGATTGAAATTAGTATTGTTGTCAGAGGATATGAATTTTGTGTTAAAGCATTAGTTGGTGCTGTTGGCCCAGACACTGACCTATTAGTGGGTATGGATGTAATACAACGTTTAGCTGAAGAAAAGTTTACTCTAGGAACACCTTAAGGTAAAAATATGATGTAGGGAAAGTAAGTGGTTTTAAAAATATGCAAGATTTTAATTTATTTTTAACTTGGTTATGTTTCCTTGTTTCTATTCTTTTAAATGGAAGCAAAATATTGTGAAAGGAAACAGTTTTATTGTTTAAAAGTTTTTGGTAGAGGTTGTCTTTCTTATTGTTGTCATTTTCAACTAACTACTAGCTAATTGTTTGAAGTCTGTATTTTTTTACTCTTAAACTGTTTTATTATGATTGCTAGAAAGCATTTTAAGGTACAGATTGATGACCCCACACTTCTTAAAATGGACTTCTATGCAATATGAACACTTAGGAAAAAAATAAAGCAAACCAGAATTTCAGTAATGACTCACCAAAATAAATTGTATTTATATACAATGCTATCAAAGTATGTATCTACCCCCTTAGGTTCAGTGTTAATTAATAGTTACAGCCTGTTTGGCTCTAATTGTATGATACTGAAAGTATCAGTAGCTGTCTTGCCCCAGGTATCCATTATGCAATTTAAGTTATGAGTCCCAAGACTAAGAAGAGCCATCTAATGGCTCTAAATTATATTGATTGAATTTTTTTTTATGTACTTGAGTTGCAGTTTTTGTTTGTGATTTTACTTTGTTTGTCTAGCAACAAATAACAGCTGAAATAGAGTTGATGACTGCACTGCATAGGTATTGTAATAGAATTAGTGATTTAGCTTAAAGCCTTATAATAAATCCAATGACTGTAAATCATTTGTTATTTTAAATACCACTGTGCATTGTGGTATCAAATAGATTTTATACTCCTTGCCAAGCATAATGGTTTCCTGTGGTCAATGAATTATGTTGTGGTGGGAGAAGTTACATGGTACAATGTTGTACTTCTCAGGTACATGAGTAAAAGATACTGAATAAAGGAAAATTACATTTTTAATTGTGAATAGGAAATTACTTTTAGTTTATACAATTATGTTTCCAAAAGGTTGTGACTCTCCAATGTAACTTTCTCCTACTTCTACCTTTCTGGTCATTTTAGTTCATTCTTTAGTTCCAGTCACTTTACTGATAATTATGGTCACTTGAACTTTGAATTATTTTAATACTGGTTCAATAGGCTTTTTCATTGCTTATTTTCCTTGAGCTTGAGTGAAGCCTTGGTGTAAAAGATCACTTACTCCCCTTCTCTGAAATCACTTTCCCCCTCATCCTGCATGTTCCCTCCCTAAATAAATAATACAGGGGAAAAATTCACATTTAACAGCTTTCATACTACCCTTCAGCTCTCCAAATACTCCTTTTTATATCATTTTTGTTCATTTCTTAGCGAGAGATTAAGGGGAAGAGAGTGCATCACTGACATGTTGCGATCCCATAAAAGAAATTTTGATATCTGTGATCCTTGATTTAGTTTCTTTAGTTTATTTATTTCTTTATTTCACTGAACTGTGCCAGACACCTGTTGTAAGACCCTCTAAAAACAAGACAAGGAATAATATAAAAATATACCAGCAATCTCCAGAATGAAAATAGAAGGTGAAGGGTAGTATGAAAGCTGTTCAATATACAAGATAAATTTTGTTATAGTTGGGCATGATGTCTCTATGAGAAGACAAAAATATTTGCAGTCTTGGTAATTTATATCTTTTTCTAAAAATCTAGTACCTACAAACATTGAGTTCAAGGAATGCATTTCTTAAAAGAAATTTTCATAATCATTGTTATGACAAGTTACCTTGCATTTAATATGGTGGAGGATGTGCACAATCCATGCAGAGTGTTACTGGCCTTTACAGTTTAACCCTTTGATCCCTAAGAGTGATCAGCTTCTAGTTTCTCTATACAATATCACCCTTGAATCAAAAAGTAAGGTCACAAGAATAAAGTAAATGATCACCAACTAAAGAAGCTTTTGATTGATAGACAAATTCTCCTTGTCAGCACCTTTGGAAATGTATAGAGAACAGTATGGAGAATATGCATACTGATGTTAGGATGTAAAGGTTTAATTATGTGTATACCATATTTCATTGAATAGGCACTCACCCTCTAATAAGTGCTCTCTCCCAAATAAGCACCCACCCCCTCGACCATTATATCAAACAAGCCCCTTTCACCCCTCCCTCACTTTCTTACATGGCATGGATACAAAGAAAACCTGCTTCCACTGCCACTTTATTTATAATTCGTTAAGCTTCAACTACAGCAGAGTCAGTACAAGAGAATAACAACTAACCTCCCTCCCATTCAGCAAAAATTTTAAATAACCTCCTTGGTGCTCATTCGAGGAAATATGGCACCTGTAAATATGTCACACCATATCAATGCACAATGATGGTCTCTCAAAGTAAAGTGTATGCAACTTATTTAAATATTTTTTCACATGAAATTTTTCCAGTGGCAAAGTTTTAACTTAATTGTTGCAGTCTTAAGTTTGTTTAATCCATAGACATCCTCCTTGATTTATTCTGAGGGTTTTCCTCAGAAATTAACATTTAAGATAAAAATCATAAAAGATGCTCACAGCCAATATGCAGGTTTGTTGGAGAAATAACCAGGTAACCCTGTGCTACCAAAAACTATTAATAAAATGCAAGGCAAAATCATGACTAATCAATGTTTCATACAAGTAAGTGCGAGGAATTGACTGATATTCATTAAATTTCTGACTTCTCTCGAACAATTTTTTTGTTATCAAATGGTAAGCAAGTTTTCAGTCCAACTACAAATAAGCTTGCAGTAAGTCTTTGCAGGTCTGTTCAATTTGGCCATTTGTACTGTAATTTGCAAAACAAAAACCAAAAGAATTCAATGCTAAAAAGCTGTATTAAATTACCATTGGGGCTAGTTTAAGTGTCTCATTTGACTTAAGTTTTTTGGTGAAAAAACGTCAGATTTACACGTGCTGTTACAGCAAACAAATAAGAAAACTCCCACAACTTAAAAACTTACATTTGAATTTGCTTCCAATTACCTTCCTTTTCATTTACTGATAGACTGAGCAGAGGTATTCTTTGAAAACTAATCATCCATGGAAGTGAATTATATTATCCTAAGATCAATGAATGTTTTTGAAGAAAAAGTTGTCATGACAGTCATTGAACTCAAGTTTGTTTGCCAAACAAGTAGCATTGTTTTTTTTTTCTTAGAAGTGTACATGAGCTTTTTTTTTTATGCTCTCTTTAATTGACAGGTGTCAGATTGTGACAGATACTTGTAAATAAAGGTTTCAAAGTTTGTTTAGAAGCCTTCTAAATAAACTTTATCCGCTAAGTAAAGAAAAGTATTTCGGTGAAGCTTCCCTCTTTAATTTGCATCACCTCTGTTTTAACAACAATTTACTTGCCGAAAAATTGTACAGTTTAAGGAGGATCTTGCCGTAATTACAGCCCTAAATCGTTCGGGTTCTTTGGCAAGTATTTCGTTGAGTTTTAGAAAAAAATAAAAGTGTTATTCACCAGCCTAGTCGGTCCGTATTGGGAAAAACTGTGCCCTCTGTCTCATGTACCTCAAGACTACGGGCACAGTTTTTCCCAATACGGACCTCCCGGCTGGCGAATAACATATATATACAGGGCCACTTTTGAGGGAGCATATACATCAAGTGGCTCGTTTGGCTTGGCAGTGGATGAAAGAACAAGGAATAACGAATATGCGCGTTAAGTCTTAGGTCTATATATTTTGTGGCTCGTTTGGCTCGGCAGTGGACATATATAGGAGCAAACGAGCCATGCGAGCCGTGGATAGTAAAAGTGGCCCTGTTTTCTATGTTCAGTCGAAAGTTTTCCTCAAATTTTCGTACCTTTGCGATGTTTACGGTCATTTCCACATTCAAACACAGAGTAATAATCTCCTCAGCCCATCATGGAAAGAAAAAAGTTTGCAAAAATATAACTTTTAAGAGAATACCTATGGAACTCTTAATGGCTATCTAACCTGGTACAAGGGGACCTGGTACTAGGTTCGCCAATCCCAGCATTCATTCGGATGACTGTAATAGCAAAGAAGCGCATTGGGTAAAACCCTGATCCTGATTGTCCGATCACATGAGCGTCTACTTTGCGAAACTGACTTACATCTCCTCTGGCTCAACGGCATTTGAAGTGAATTAAGGTTTGGGGTAAGCAACGAAAAGCAAGAAAAATAAGGTTTGTGGTTTCTTTCAAATAAATTCTCAGTTTTCTAGTGACACACACACTTGTAACGTGTCCATTTTTCGCAACCCTCTCTTTCAGATCAGAGTTTGGTGAGAGCGGTGTACGTCGATCGAGGTTTGTTATAGAGAATTGTTCCAGATCAAGTGTGATACAAAGTTAATACATATGCTATACTCCAATTTTTCATTCGTATTAAGCTAATTATTTAAAATGCCAATTTGATTTATGTAGTTTATGAGAAAATATGACGCGTTTTACCTGCGCCTACATCCAAGGGAAATAATAGATACAAGTACTTCCAGTCATTAATATTTCTCAAATAATTCACCATGCTAACGAGATTATTAATTGATTTGCGAAAGTGTTTGGTTTGATCCGTTCCGTTGCGTTTCTTCTCGTGTTCGGTCTTAAATATGAATCAGCAAAGGTTGGTTTTCCTGAATAATGAGCGATCTATATTTCTTTGTTACTTCTTCCCCGTCTGATTATCCACATGACCGTTGGCGGGAAAACAAAGTCACATGACTGAATGAAGAGCTCCAGAAACGCAGCCATGATGCGTGTGTCTTTTGGGACGAGTGACTCACTTAAATTATGTGCGAAGTTTACGTATTCCTCTGCCTTAGTCATGTCAGAAAATTTGTACTTCTGTCTTTGGGAAAAAGAGCCTCATCAGAAGAGTACAGTTCAGGGAGTAATTCGGCGATTTACACCCCTGCATTGTTCGGCACGAAGTCCAATTACCGGTGTCAATAGCCATGTGAGAAACTCAGGAATGAAAAATTTAATGCAAGAGCACATACCCTTTTGAGTGCTACGGAATAACAGTTACTGGGCCAGTTTTTTCTTTCTGTGTTTGATGTCAACCTGGACCTTACAATCTGAAAAAAAGAGTTTTTGACATAGACTAATGTTGGTGGCATGAAAGGTCTAGAACGGAATATGGCCACCAAAAATCTCTTTCCAAGGACTAGAGAAATTAGTTGATACCTGAGTAGAACTGACCAAGTGATGGTACTGCCGTTAAATTATTGGCCAAGGGTTGGCTAATTGTTAGGCATTTGAATGTTATAGTGGTTGAACCACCTCAGTAAAAGTACATCAGAGACCGTGGGTAAGGAGCTTAGCTATCTGAGGACCATCTTGGGGAGGTTGGATTGTTCTTTTGCTAAGCATGGGGTTAAGCTGGACAGGCCCCTCAGTATTCATTATTATGAGTGGGTTAATACCACAGACACCAAATTGAAAGTCTCAGATGCCTCATCTGTTTCATGCTACATGAATTCCACTACATCCTTGGTAGAGTTTCTATCACCCCTGGCTGTGTTAGGGCAGCAGGAGATGCCAGTAGACCTGCACCCTATTTGTTGTGCCAGCCCAAACCAGAGCTTTAGCAGAATTAGCGGACAGCCCCATGGAAAAAAATAAACAATCCTGATACGTTTGATAAAATAATCAGCAAATAGTAAAGAACAAACACTTTTGAGTATGCCTGAATTTTAAGTTATGAAATGGTTCCCAACACAACAACTTACCTGTTTCTTTTTTTCTACTTTCTAAGGAACCAATACTGGTTCAGTTGCAATTGAGGGCAACATTAATGTCCAGCTGTCCAGAATGGATTTCACTCATGCACAGGCTGCTCACAAGCCTACAGCCATGGCACTTCACCTAGTGGACCATCTTTTTAAAAGAGATGTGTTGTTTAAATCAACTGTCCATGGAACAAAGGAGTATGCTCCCCCAGACCAAGACATAATTACTGCAATTAGAGGTTAGTAAAGGCTTTGCAAAACTTGTGCAAGTAGAGCTAAGAACTATGCATCTAAACCAATTATAAATGTTTGCACTGTTTGCTTGGAAATGTAGCATGTGACCTCCCAATTGTTTATTATTACAAAAAAGTCAGACAACAGATGTAGGAACAATTTTTTAAGTAAGCAGTTTGTAATATGCATGCAAGTCATTAGACACAATTTGGTGTCAACGATTTAAGAACATTTTTAACATATGCTTGAAAACCTTGCTGGTATATTTATAAACACGAAGCAACATTTGTTTTCTTTATTATTTTCCGCTGAATTATAAACAGCATTTGCATATCAGAGCCACAGTGCTAACGCCCACCTTCACATGTGGGACCAGTGTAAGACAACCATTGTAAAAAGAAAATTAAAAGCTTAAAAAGGACTATATTTTTTGCATTGAGAATATTAATTAATTAAATTAGCATATAATCATCAATCAGTTGAAACAAGTAAAACTTCAAGTAAGGCATTGATATAAATAGCTGAAATTGTGAATTGAAAAGGACCCCAGAACTCATGTGGGCCAGTCAATAGGTCTAAATTTACTTGTTGAATTTAGTTGAAGTGGAAGTCTCAACTGTGATTATTCCTGAGTGGAATGGTCTAAGAAAACCATACATTGAGGCAGTCTGTAAAAGTAATTTGCATTGTTTTTAAGTATTATCAGGGCAAGCAACAGATGCTCTAAATTATAGTTGTGAGGACAAGCTTATAGATGGTAATAAAGACCTGATGCAGTTCTTTGAAGAAATAATCAAATGGTAAATGCTTCAACCATCCATGTTTTGACTTGTAATAAATGTTGCCTTGATAGATTCTTGCTGATAATGATTACTCCATACAACCATTGGTAAATGAATCACACCACAATGTTGTCTGGATCTTAAATAAAAAATTAGTAAAAGTAGTTGTCAGGTATTTACATCCATTATATGCTTCTTCTCAAGGAGACACACCAGCAGAATTTAAACTAATTAGGTTGGCAGCCACCCAAGATGGGGAGATTAGGAGATTAACTGCTGGCAGTGGATTAAGACAAACACAAATAAGCTGGAATGATTTTGATTGAATGTTTCCTTATATTTGGGTTGTTTTTCAGTTTGTCAGAAGAAAACTATGGCCAATGTTCTACCAATACAGACAAGTGGATACAACTTTCAAGAGTTTTTTGTGAGATATGTGGACAATTGGGTATGTTGATGTGGTGCTTAATTAGCAAACTAAATCTTTTTCTTCACAAGAACCACACTTCATTGTATTCTTTAAGTTACACCCCATTCATGGTTCCTCAACATACGAAATAATATTGATTCTTTTTTGAGGAAATCAAGACATACTGTATGCATGTGCATAGGTTTCTTAATTGAGTATAGTAGTTAACCTCTCAAATATATAGATATAATGATACAACTGATTTTTTCAGGTAATTCACATTGTGGTTAAATAGCTCAAGTGTTGATTTTATAATTCAATGTCGTATAAGTTGGTTTGCCTGTGGAAAACATAGTAACAAAAATACCTTGAATTTCCTTTCTTTCATGAAAAATGATTAAATTGCTACCACTTGGAATTGCATGTTTGGCTCAAAAAAGTTTGGCTTGTTTCTATGTTTTTGGAACATTAACAGTACATTTAAATTATAAAATACATTATATAGCAATTGATAAATTGAAAATGTGTAACCTATGTTATGTATAGCAGTGTATGATCTATGAATAGAAAATTGTCATTTAGTTTGGGGGCTAAGTCTTTTTCCATCATTTGCAGTTTTTAAATTGCATGGTTGTAATTTAGATGCTCAACATTTGCAATTAAAAAATCATTTTTCTAATTAAGGTATAACCATTTGCAATTTATGAGTAGTGTACGTGCAATTGCTAAGTCACAAATTGCTTAGTAGCTTTTTTAAACTCTAAATCAACTGTAGAAGATATGGATAAGTAAATGTACTCCTATCTCTTTTATAAAATAATAATTGAATAATTGTGGATTGAGTTTCCTTTGACACTTGCATTTTGATGTGATGTGTTTCTTGTCACAACTTGTACAGGTGATGAACAGAATATTCAAAGGGATCATTTGGCGCACTGTAGAGAAGGTGAAGAAAACTACTTTGCTGATGGTGAGAAGTCTTCATGTGTGTCATATGAGGTTAATAGTGACTTGCTGTCCAATTCAGAAAACTGTGGTGGATCTATCAATAGTGAGTGATTTCTACCAAACACAATCATTACTGTTAATTGTGAAAGACTTTGCAGAGATTATGATGAAAGCGTGGCATGAAAAAGGTATAGTGTGTGTGTATATACATATAAATAGATATATACACATTCTACAGATTTTTCCACTACTCATTTTTTAACATGTTCGCACAGTGGTCGACTGTTTGAATTTTTTTTTGTAAAGTTCTTTTTTATTTATTCAGCTTTAGTGGAATAGGCTTGACCAGGTTTTCACCATTACCATTGCAGTGTACTAGGGTCTAGAACTCCCCATTTATACATGTTTTTCTCACCGTGTAGGTGGCATTTCATGTTTATTTTTATTTGCCAATAAGGCCTCTTCTGCATCATCTGTGGTCCCCAGAGTGGTATTAGGAATATTCCTTGTCCAGATTTAGTTTCCTGAGGCCAAAAATAATTCAATTATTGATATTATGTTGTAGGCAAATTGATAAGAACAAGTTATTGTGAGTTATTGCCTTTGCCATCAGTGTGCTGAGTTAAGGATTTAGAATTTTAGTCTTACCATAAATTCACCAAGTTTCTATACAGCATTTTCACTCTTTAATGAAATTCTCTGATACCCCAAAAATTCCAGGGGCAGCACCAGTATCACTTTTGGTAAACAATATTCTCTTTTTGCAGAGAAAATAAAATGGTCTCAAAATATTTATTCTTTTTTCCATGTCATGATTTTTGCACTATCATAACTTACAAAATATTTAGAAAGTGATATGATTTGTCCTTTTTTTATTCTTTTCAAGGGAACATGCAGGGCAATGGTGGTATACATAATGATGAGCCTGAGTTGTATTCTGGCTCAAGATGCAATACCATTTATGTGGATTCCACTGCAAGCTCTCAGCTTGGAGCCACAGGGCATGGTTCTGAATGTGAAAGCCTCCTTCTTGTTGAGAAAGTAGAGAAGAAAGAAAGAGATCAGGACCCTCAACCAACTGACACCTTGTCTTATGACAAAGTAGAGAATTGGCTACAGTTCACCTGCTCTGCCAATGGCTTGCCATCTCTGTCTCCTTATATTCCAGAATCATCAGACTCAGATCACAATGATACTCTTACATTGCTTAATTGTGTGGAGTCTGCAAGAGCCATTATGGAAGGAAGAAAGAAAAGAAGAAGAGCAACAAATTGGTGGAGTAGGGGAGGAAAAGTGAGTAATCCTCTCTTTCATTCCATATTGGTGGAACCTCTGAAAATTTTACCAGGTTCATTGATGTACATGATGGTCTAAAATTGAAATTTCTGGCTGCTTCTCTTGAAACTTGAGGCAGAAATATGCAAAGATCATATCTTTTTTACAGTATAATCGTCTATAGTTTGTCAGCATATGTATTTTACTATTCGGTATTTTTAAAATGAATTTCAGGGTGGGTTTTGCAGGAAGGACTTTTTTTATGAATATTTTAAACTTCACATAAATGAACTGACACATTAATTTGATTCTGAAAAGTCAATTGTACACTGATCAACTGTGGTGAAGTAACAATCTGCAAGCAAAGCTTGAAACCACTAACAGATTACCAATACTATTTGCGATTTAGCTTTCAAACCCCTGATTGGCTTTTTTCTTGAGAGATAGCTACATTTTTCAGATGTTTGTGGTGTTCTCAGGTTTAGATATAAGTTTCACAGTAAGTGTAATTTTGATTACTATGATTATTGTGGCGTACATATTTAGCATGAAGAGGAAGAAGGAGAGAAGCAGATCTCAAGACGAGATGGGGCAAAGAAAGACTACAAAGTTGAGAAATGGCTGAAGGTTGTGTGCGCTGCTAAGGGCTTGTCTGCTGGTGAATTGACGTCACTTCTGTCTTGTAATGTTCCCTCAAGTTTAGATGCAGCTCACAACGATGAGCTTTCGTTGCTAAAGGGTGTAGAGACTGTAAGAGTTAGATTACCAGGAAGAGGAGAAAGAGAGAGAGATGCAAAATCTTCTTACAGTGGAGAGGTGAGGAACTCTTTTTGTTTCTTTTGAATTGTGCATCCAGCATTATCTGTCATTTTTCAGTGCTCAAGGCAGGTTTGTTAATACCCATTATAAATAAATATGAGGGCAGATATCTTATATTATGCTAATTTACTATTCGTTTTTGCTTTCGGTAGACGTGGGCAGTGTAGTCATTTCCATTTTTAATGGCTTTTCATTTGCGGTGTAACTGTTGGAGATGTTGGGGGGGGGGGGGGAGAAGGGGGGAGGGAGACACAGGCAAGGGATCTGCACTTAGATATTACATCCCATGTAAAGTTTTGCATAGGGTGCATCAACGGTTCCTTTGATGTGTTGTAATTACAAACCTAATGAAGATTTTATGGAACATTCGGACATTCAGTTTCAGAAGTCTCTGGTTTGACTCAATCTCCTAAATGCGTTTAGTTAGTTTGTTGTGCTTCAATAATTATAGTCATCCACAACAGTTCTTTATACCAATGGACTCCGACCCAGTAGACGTGGGTCACCTTAACTTAATAACTTTTATAATTCATCCTGGTTTCTAATCATAGATAACAGGAAAGCAGTCGTACATTGTCAACTGCACTACTTCCCCTAAGATTATGCCAATTATTTCTGTATCACTGACTTTTCCAGCTCTTACCAACATTTCTTGATATTTACGGTTGGTCCAACATCGAAACGCTGAGTTGTTCAAATTTTTTTAAAATGTTTTTCAAAATCCACAGAAAAATGATGTCCAACTTTTCAAAGGCGACCACCAAGACGTGGCAAAGCAGGCAGAGGCTTGAGCAGCCATAAGCAATCATGAAAAAAAAAACTCATCACGATGAAAACCTAGTTTGTGTTATTTTATGTGTAAACACCTCGAGCATCTCTTACGCTTCGTTCGTGCTCCCCAACTATCCGCGTGTATCCTGAATTGAAGCTCGCTAGACATTGTCCATTCTTTAACTTTTTCATAATATTTTAGCCAATCAGAGCGCGCATTAGAATGTAGCTATGTTATAATATAGGATGCAACAGACAATTTTGAAAACATGTACTTTCGTTACCGATTGTCATTAAAGTTAAAATTAATTAAAGACGTTGTTAATTTAAGTCGGTAAGTTGGAGAGTTAGAGTTTGAAAGGGCAAAATATCTTCAACTGCAAAGGGAGAATTGCAAAGGTTATCACGAGAGCTATAGAACCTTTTAGCTTTATCCTCCTCTTCCTTCGCAAACGAAGTTACCAAACGTGAAGTTTGAAAACTTTTGTAATGTTATCAAGTTCTGGGATACAAAGACAAACATACTGGGTTCCAAGGAATAGAGATGAGAGCGGATCTATTTTTTTCCTGGTAGGCTTTAAAGACATATATAAATGTAGGTTTACATATTTCTGCTGATCAAGTGAAAAAAAAAAAAAAAAAAAAAAAAAAAAAAAAAAACATTCCAAAGGTTACGTCCGGATTTATCACAACCTGAAGGCCACGTGCCATCCTCCATTTTGCATTTTACTTTACGGTGATCTTTTCCTTTTGATATAATAAAGCCACGACAAGTAAACCTCGAACGCCATGTCAATTGCCATAGTCCGCTGTTCAGCTCACGTCTTTTTGTTTTGGGTATCCGTAATCCAAGGGGGAATACCCTAAACAATAGTGATTTGGGTACGGGGTACCAAAAACACAGGGATAGCAAAACCATGGGAAAACCAAAAACATGGAGATACTCAAAATACGTGGATACCCAAAACACGGAAATACTCAAAACATGGGGGATACCCAAAACACAGGGATACCAACATCACCGCTGTGACTGTGACGGCGGGAAAATATTAGAGGTGATCAATCAGAGGACTGGTGATTAGGTACTCAGTGCTTTGATTTCACGCAAAGAAGAAGAGGATTGATTTATACTGAGGAGGCTCGTATGTACAGAGGGGGCGGATTCGTTTTATAATGTGTGGCTGTGGCACTAGTGGGCCACCGTCCTAAACGTTTTCCCTTGCACCTGGTTGGTATTAAAACGATCTGTTTGTAATATGATTGGTACCGCTATTTAGATTGGTTCCCAATATTCTTATTCTTAAATACATGAATAAGATGCAGTTCATATAACCTATCTGGAGTGGTTCTCAGACATAATTATTCTTATTGTACGGTTACATTATAATCATGAATTTATTTACGATTTGCTAAACCCAATACAGTTGTAATAAACTCTTACACGACTTGTGTCTGCATGGTTAGCAGTGCGTATATCGAGCTATGTATGCACTTGGGAAGTTTGGAGAGCACCTAGGAAGCTAGAGTTGCTCTTAGCTGCGCCTTGCGCAACTCTTTCCTTTCTCTCGTGCTCTCCAAATATCCTGCGTGCATACATCACTCGATATAAACACGCCAAGCATAAACCGATCCTTTAGTGTCGCACGACGCGTAATACAACGTTTTCCCGTGACACTACTGAAGCCGGGTTTCTTTAAAGTCTCTGATGCTGGCGTAGATTTTTCTGTTCCATTTCCACGCCTTCTCAAAGATTTGCCAGAGAATATAGTTTTGGTCACAGAACCCTGCGTGCTATTTACAAATGTCTTTCTCCAGGAGGGTCGTCGTGCATCCTTGTATGACATTTCCGAACACTTATCCTGTGAGGTACGGGAATGTTATGTTGGCTCTTTATACTTCAGTGAACTAAGTACTTCAGTGCGGAAAATTACGTTTTTGTAAATAACTAATTGTATGTCACTCAATTTTTTCACGGTACTTATGTTGCAAAAGTGGTTAATCACTTGGCCGATGAGCTCGCTAAGTCGAATAATTCTGATCAATTCCAAGCTGTTGAAAGTCATCCGCAGTGGTCCTAGGTTAGTAATGTCGTCATTCTTAGTAGGCTTGGTGAATCTGTTAAAATACCAGCCGCCTGTCGCGCCAATAGCAATAGTCACTCAAATGTTATATCTGTTCAAATTGGACTGACCACGTGAGCGATTTTAGACAAAACCCTCCAGGGGCCTTTTTCAAGGGTGAATGTATTCTTCACCCCTGTGTTTGGATTGAATTCCACCTGAGGCTGTAGAGTTTTAGCTCAGCTTTTAAAAGGTGAGGAACAGGAAGCTTTTTTGTTCTTACATCAAGCAAGTATAAAATAGCGTACTAAGTGACAGATTTACTTGCATGGTTTGTGCGCAAACAGGAAGAGCTTTAGGACGGAAGTATTAATAAATTTTCCTCTCAGACATGTATAGAAATTTCGTTCATTAAACAAAGAGTATGTTCTATACCAAACTAGGCTCTTGTATTTGTAAGCTAAGCACGTCGATTTAGCCAGATCATTTTGCTCAGTTTCAAACACAAAATTTGCGAGGTTCTACAGCTGTAATTTCCAATGAGAACCGTGAAATTAAACCAAATATCAACTCTGCGGTAGAGTGTTTATAACTCTTTTGCGGGCTTGTTCTAGATGAAAGATTGTAATAGATGCAGAAAATTAGACAATGGTTTGTCCACTTCTCACTTTCTTTTTTTCATTGATCTAAGCTTTGACTTAGAGTTTGGTAAATTCTTGAACTTTCCTTTCATCAGTATTGTGACCAATTTTGTTCATGGTATAATGGCTGGTCAGGCATAATACCGGCTGTGTCATCGTACGCTTGGAGCCGTGTATCGAGAGAGAGAGAGCAGAAAAAATATCGTCCGAAAACGTAGAGACGACTTAAGCGCGTAAAAGGATGTTAAAATCAGTAACTTATTCATGTGCACTGCATCTTATAAAATCCGTTTTGTGCAAATTATTGTGATGAAATCCATGTTGCAAAAACTCATGTGCGCGTAGTCAGATTATTAGTCATGATGATTTCATCATTTCATTATATATGCACTTCAGTCGTGAGTCATGTCAATAGTAAAAGTCACGCAAATGTTGTCGACCACGTGAACGATTTTAAACCAAACGCTCTTTTGTGGGGCTTTTGAGATGCATGTATTCACTAGTGTGTTAGGGCTGAATTCGACCAGAAGACACAGAGTTTGAGCTCAGCTTCCATAGGTGAGATATAGGAAAGGTTTTAATACTTATATTACACAAGTATGAAATGATTTAGTGATAGATTTACTTGCATGGGTTGTACACAAACAGGAATGGTTTCTGGAACCTTCTCAAAAGTTTTGACGGAAATAGTTATCCATTTCCTTCGTAAACATGTGTAGGAATTTCTTTCTTCAGACAAAGAGTATGTTTTATGCCAGACTCGATTCTTGTATTTGTAAGCTGAGTAGTTCGGTGGTTTAGTCCATTCATTTTGGTGAGTTTCAAACACAAAATCTGCGAGTTGTAAGTCCTTAATTTCAGAGATGAGCGCGCCGTGAAATCAAGTATCTATCAGGCAGCTGAGTGTTTAAGTTTACCCTTTTGAGGGCTTGTTCTGGATGTACGACTGAACTAGATGCGGAAAATTAGACAGTATTTCGTCAGTTCTTGACTTTCTTTACATTTCTGTATAATCATGCGCTTCCAGTCTTATCTCAAAAGAAATTGCCAAAAGAAATTGCCAAAATAAATTTAAATATGTCGCTTGGATGCAGAGCGAAGTTCGAAAACGGTTTTTTTAACTGACTGTTGATTTGTATTCACTGCATGGTCGAGACTATGTTTCAGCAAAGCATGACTTTGTTAGGACACTTCCTATTCAAAGATACTCGTGTTTAATTAATCGAACAATTTCTGCGTTAGTCTCAGTTAGATTAAAATTAAATTAAATTGCTGTGGTTGTTGCTTTTTTCGGAATGCGAGAATGGTTAATCACTTGGCCAAAAGTCTTGTTAACTTGTAATAACTTTGATCAAATCCTTGCTGCAAAAAAAAATATCAACTTGGAGTTAGCGCTTGTAATGTGATCATTAGCGAATTTGTTACGTTGTCCGATAGTGTCGGCCGCCTCGTATATGACCGACCAGGTGAGCGATTTAAGGGAGGCTTCCCGCAAATGCGTCAAAGTCGGCTTTCGAGCTGAAACTCAGCTTAAAAGGTGAGAGATAAGTGCTTATACATATTTCAAGCAGGTTTGAAATATTTTAGTTCTCCATTTCCATGCATAAACTTTCTACTTTCAAGAATTTCGTTTTAAGAAACCCATAAGACGAATGTTTCAGACGGGAGCATTTTCGATCTTCCTCGTAAACATTTCGAAAAATTCGAAATTCGTGCAGGAGATCATTAAAGAATGTCATATTTTAGACGAAGCTCAAATCTTTGTAGCTAATAGCGTCTTTTACCCAGATTAAAGAGTGCGGTTTGCCGAAATCTAGCGACGCTTTTAATGATAATCGTGGTGAAAACCTTTCGAACCAAAGACTTCAAAACTGTTTATGGAAAAAATGGCCACGGTTGATTTGTCCGTAATTTGACTTGAATACTAAATTTACCCGCATTTTTTTTTGAGAGGTAGCTGCCATAGTCTTCTGAATATTGTAAGTTACGTCTGCGTAAAGAGTTGTCTGGAATTTATATTTATGTTTTGTTTTGCCTTTATGAAATGAACGAATGTAACGATGTAATGTAAAAGGTACATTGAAACTAAACCAAATATCAACTCTGCGGCAGAGGGTTTATAACTCTTTTGAGGGCTTCTTCGGGATTGACGATTGTAATAGTCGCGGAAAATTAGGCAATGTTTTGTCCACTCCTGACTTTCCTTTTCTTCTTTGATCGAAGCTTTGACTGAGAGTTTGGTAAGTTCTTGAATATTCCTTTTATCAGTACCGTGATCAATTGTTTTCATGGTAGAATGACTAGTTAGGCAAAATACTACTATGTCATGATGCATGATGCAAATGTTATCGACCACGTGATCGATTTTGGAGCGAACGCTCTTATACAGAGTATTCGAGGTGCATGTAGTCATTAGAGTGTTGGGGGCTGAATTCGATCAGGAGTTACGGAGTTTGAGCTCAGCTTCAATAGGTGAGATATAGAGAGAGTTTACTTATACTGATATCAGACAAGTGTGAAATCACTTAGTGATAGATTTACTTGCA